GTAATCCGTTACGAATTGCCCACTGCAGGCCGCTGCTTAGCTTCTTATCAGTGCTCCTCTGGTAGCTGAAGCCTCTGGGCACTACGACGACATAGGAGTAGTAGGTGGCATACTATGCGGCGGTAGGTTGGGTCGCGGCCGGCAGAACCGCATGTGCGATGGGGCTCTTGCAGCCCACCAGCCTGCTCGATGGCCTTAATAGCTGGCGACGGCCTATAGCTGGGCGGTGCGACTATGGCAGCGTGGTGGTGCAGTGCAAGGAGCTTATTATTCTTAGTCGGCCTTCTACGCCGGTTAGGAGATTATTAGTGTGGAACCAGTCCTCGGTTCGGAAGATTTAGCCACGCATTGAGCAACGTTTGGTCGATGCTAGTTGGAAACAGAGTCATGGGTCGGTCCTGCATCATTGATTTTCCCTCTGCTGTGCTGCTGTGCGTGTTTTCTCTTGCCGGTGATGACGACGCCCGAGGGAGGTTGATTGCACGAGGCGGCGCCGCGACTCTGCTAGTCGAAGACAAATGGCCTGATACCGGCCTATTGGGTAAGGCGGCGGGCTGCCATTGACGAGTTCGTTCGTTGCCACATATCATTTCTGCTTGCCAAAGAAGCAAGCAGCAGGCTCGGATGATTGGCTGGTGTGTGGCGGCGTCTGAGACTAGGCCAGGCGAGGGGACTCAGGAGGATCCTGCTCTGATTATCTCCCACATGGGATCCCGCACATCAGTCATATCATATCGGTTAGTGGTATTGCATGATTAATCAGGATCAGTTTTCGACTCATGCCACTTCAGCCATGGACGGAGAATCATAGTGCCAGAGGAAATCACGAGAGGAGCATGGGCGAGCACGGAAGAGCTTTTTGTCAACCAGTTTTTTCTTCACCCTTTCGTTTCGGGAGCCGTACGAGATTCGTATACTATCCGGGCAAATCTCAAACAAGGCTACGTACCTCTGCCCTACCTAGAGCTGCCTGTAGTGGTAATTTGGGGCCGGGCATTGGTCCACCCCAACCGTCATAGCACAGGACGGATTCCATTGCCATGATAGGATCCTTCAGTGGAGGGCCAGCCCGACCCCACAGTCGCAAAACTGATCAAGGTGAGGTGGCTGCCCTCGGTTTCGCTCTCACTAGTAGCAGCAGCTGGAGGCACCAACGGTCAATGCAAGGCGGCTAGTCAGTTGCCACGCTCACCCGCCAAAGGCAGCGCCTCGCCAGAGATATGACCAGTCAAATTCCCGTCGGTCTACTATTGCCTCTGGGATGCTCCAGCCTGGGCCAGAGGTGTTGTGGATGATCCTACGGAGCTACGGAGTGGTCGACAGAGCCTTGGGCCTTTCATTAAACTTCCGGGTTGGTTCCCCCCGCACGCATCTATTATGTAGTAGTCTGGACAAGGGAAGACAATGTGTGGGAAGTCCACGGCCCCATCCACAATAACGCTTGACGCCACGGCTAGGGAGGTGGTGACCTCCCAACACCACTTTTCATTTTACTGCTTCTGGCACCAGTTACCTCAGGGCTGGGATCCTAGTGTGATCTGGTCATTGATCACCCGACAGTAGGCGGGAGACCATCGGGGCTAATACCAATGGCGACCGGGCTGTGAAGTCACGACCCTTTTTTACCTCGCCGACTAACGCCTGATGATGGCATATCTATCCAAATGTGAACCCTCAGCTGCCATGGCGGGCGTACGCCACAACGTGCTCTGGAGTCGCTGTCGACACCGAGGCCCTCCGCCACCACCTTTATTGTCATGCTTGCTTTTTCTGCATGAGGTGACAGGTAGAACAGACCGACCGTCTATCACCGACCGCCGTCTAGAATTTCGGTGGCGCGGCACCGCCGTCAGTGTGAATGCGGGAGAATGTGATACTGCGACTCCCTCCAGCCTGTTACGGGCAGGCCAAATCGGCAGATAGGGACTCAGCTGGCAGGCAAGGCCTGGTAGGGCAACGCAGCAGGGAATGACACCCAGACAAGGCAAGGCACATTGGCAGCCCCCAATATTTGATATTGCCAGCACAGTAATGGGGGTGCGGGTGGCTCTGCTGTGCACAGCGGAAGAAGGGCGGAATGGGGAGGGACGCGTCTGGGCAGGCAGGTATCTGGGAGCCCCAGCCCGGGGGGCCCCAGCACCCATCTCAGCTCTGGCCTCTGCATGCGTGAACGATGATGTGACATGTCTGTCCCGGGTTATGGGGTACGACGATGTTTGGCTGTGGCTGGGGCAGCCCTCTGAGGACTCCTCGCCTGGCGATCTCACAGCTGGCGAGCTAAACGGGACACCCTCACCGGCCTATTGGGCGCCGGGGCTGGCAGGAGGCAGGTGATTGCCTACCTGGGTAGGTGCTCAGCTACTGCACGGTGCTCTAACGGGTGCATCTGGCTGGGCTCGAAGCTGGCGGGCGGCCGGTAATCAGTGTTTAAAGCAAGAACGGTCGAGCGTGTGGCAACCACACCACCAGGCTGGGAGGGTCCCCGCCTTCCTGGTTTGGGGTCCCAGCTCATCTGTTCCTTCTCAGAGAAGCAACCTGACCTCACCCCTCCGCCCCGCCCCTCGAGCCACGCACCCATTTTGCTCGTCGAGACTAACGGTTGCCAAGTGCCATCAACAAGCCACCACCACCACTACCACCACCTCCACCAGCCCTCAGACCAAGCCAGTCCGCTTGTGCCACCGCCTGCGTGATGCCATCGCATCATCTCACACCCACAGCCTCCCATGTTGGCTCTGCCTGCGCTTGCAAGGACGGGGCATAGCTTGTTTGCTTGCTTGCTTTGACTTGGTCCAGCTGGGCCCTCGAACCCTCCGAGGCAAGCTCCGACTGTGGCGAGATCTGGCCTGCCCTTAGCCCTCCTCGGTACTCGACGGACTAATTAGCCCAGATCTAGGTACTCGCAAACCCTCCTTCCTCCTTGCCTCTGGCCACTCTACTTGGATGGACACGCCTTGGATTGAGTGGTTTACTCCCCACCTCGGACCATGGCGTGCCCCGGAGGCATCGAGATACCTCCCAGGCGGGACGCAACTCTCAGATCGCCTGGCGGTTTCTTTCCCTCTAGACCACAGCCCATCGGCCGCCTGGCTTCAGTTCTCAGACTAGTCTCTGCCCAATCCCCTAGGCCAACGGCTCCGGGCGAGCCGCCTGCGTATCCGCACGTAACCTCAAAGCCTCGTGTCTCATTGTGCCAGTATGTACTTTTGTCGCAAGCCGAGCACTGTGTCTCTTTTATAGTAAGACCAAGGCGCCAGCAGACTGAGCACGTCCTCGGATCAGCCCTCGCCATGAGGATTTGAGACATGATGTGATGCCATGTGAGATAGAGACCCGGTGGCTAGGGCACGGTGCTTTGCTGGGAGGGTCCGGGAGTGAAGGGAAACGAGGACGAGGACGAGGGCGAGGAAGAGTGAGAGGAGGGAACAGAGGACGCCTCTTCGAGTCTCATATCGTGGGCCAGAGGGCGGCCATCCCGTCCTCTGTGTGCTGGAGACGGGCAGATAGCTTCCACAGGATGGGCAATTTACATGTTGTGGCATGTATCCCATCACTGACTAACCGACTAACTCTCCAATGGCGAGCCCTAGTCCAACCCGTCATTGATTGTTGGTGGTGGTGGTGCTGGGTTGTTTAGGACCCTTGCCCAACGCTAAATTCGCATCTCAGCTGGCTTGGCTTGAGCTTGGACTGACTACGAACGCCGGTACGCGAGGACTACCTAAGAATAATAATAAAGATGTGGAACTGGCAGAGGAAGCACCACGGCCAAAGGCAGCATCGCATCCAGGTACCAACCTCTGATCCAGATGCCTCATGGCCAGCTAATAATATGAAGACCTCAGCACTGGGACAAAGTCACAATGGGTCCTCGCCAGGGGTCCTTGAACAGGTCTCCAGCCAACCCATGTCTGGCCTGGTCTCTGGGCTGCTGTGTCTTTCTGCACCCTCCAGGCTACTTGCCATTTACTTGGTAGTTATCAACACGCCCCTTTCCCGGTCCTTCCCCCACCCCCAGAGTGTACCAAGTCCCAGAGTCATAGTCCAGTCCAGGGCAATAGCTGCACAAAACCTGACCTCAAGCCGCCTACAGCCAGCTTCTTTCGTTCGTTTCTCTTTTTTGCGCTACTCGGCTTCCTTGCCGCAATACCTGATAGTGCTCGCCTGTGCCTTGTGAGCCAGCCGTTGTCGCCGGCCTTCCCTCATCCCGCTGCAAGCTGCTTGTGCTCTTCGACGCTGCAGCTGGCCGACTGCACCATCTTGACGACCGCCTGCGCCGCCGCCGCATATTGTATCACGAACGGCTTCAACATCCTCCTGCTGCAAGTATCACAGCGCAGCATCTTGTCTCACTCCATTGACCTGCGCTTTGCTCCTCCTGCGCCCTGCCTTCAATTTCCTCTCCTCCGCGGCTTTATCCCCGGCTTTATCCATGATTCTTGGTCCTTTTCCATCCTGTTTTTACATGTCCGATTTTGGCCGCCATCCAAGCGTGAACTTGTCGCCCCTCGTCTTCTTCTAGCCACCACAAGCTTTAACAGTCGCCTCCACAGTCGGATTTAATTTTTTTTCACTCCTCGTCCTCCACACTGGCCTCGGGAGGTCTCAAGTGAAGAATAAAAAAAAAGTTTCTGGAACAAACAAGAGTTGGGCTCGGATGGTTTCAAGGGGAAGATAAGATTCCAGAAAGAAAATAAGGAAGTATTCGGAGGAGATCTCTGGCGCGATCAACTCCCACCACTTCGTAAGTTGCCTACCTACCTCTGGTGAAGGTCCAGACTGGCCAGTCCGGCTCAGGACCAAGAAATCTCCATCAATGGTGTTGTCCTGGGCCGAGTTGCTCTAGTCCACAATCTATTACCAAGATCCCATCGTGATGCATTCGTTACTTGCACACTTGATCCGAACTCCCCTTGACTTAGCTTGCTACTGACTGCTCCGTCAGGTCTTCTTGGCCCCTGTTCCGGCCCTCCACCTAGAGACAACCTCTTCTCGTCTCCATGCCACTTGTAGGCCGTGCTTACGACTCGGGCTTCCCTGTTGACAAGCCGAATAATCGCATCACTGATCTCGCACGGGTCGCCCTCGATTTAAGCTGGGCCACCGAACGGTCAGAGACAGGAAGGTCTTCTTCCCGGCCTTCTCCGTATCCATCTCCGCCCATGTCAGGCTCCCCTCACACTCTGCACAAGGCGACTTCAGAAGCGAGCGACCTCGGCCTCATACCAAGCAGCAACTACTCATCAGCAGTTCCTCAAGATGCATACGGGGGGTACTCGACCCAATCATCTCCGACAGACTCACGATCCTCGCAAGGTTACCCCGGTGTTCCGGATCTTTATTCTCGATCGTACCCCTCTGACGCCTTAGAAAGAATGAATTACGGTTACCAGCACCCTAGCGATCGCTCGAATCGACCGCCCTCCTACCATCCTCAGGGCCAGAGTCTGCCAGGGATTTCGCAAGGGCCTCCCCAGACTCTCCCGTACCCTCCACCTAGCCCAAGCCCTCAAATGAACCTCAGCCGTCCCTCGACTGTTGAAAGCCAGCCTGGAGCCTCCCCAAAGTCACAGAGGAAAGCAAAGGGACATGTCGCTTCTGCGTGTGTCCCTTGCAAGAAAGCTCATCTTAGGTTAGTAGTACACCGCCAGCTGTGCCCGCAACTTGCTAACACACCCTTTGTTCTTCAGATGCGATTGTATGTATATTTTGATATCCTCTCCCTTCCCTCTCAAGACCAAGAAGCATGTCCCTTTCTGTTCAGATCGTCGGGATTGGAAACCTAGGAATGGTTCCTGGGTGAAAGCTAGGGTCATACCTCGGATTCCACCTAACTCGCCCGGTGTTTTGCGCGGGAAGTTCCCCCGGACACCTCCAGCATGACTGATGCTGCATGTTTCCGTTGGCTATCGGTTTGTCCATGTCACGCCAGAGACAAGGGGCAATTCGAGTGCAACACGAGCGCCACAAGATCCGTCTGCCCCAAATCGCCTAAATTGGCCGTGGCGGGATCTGGTGTGCATATTGTTCAATGGGTCCCAGCGGGTTGGACCAGTGTAACGCTGGACAAAGTCCTCTGGACAACGAAAGTCTCTCGCTCGCAAAGATTTCCTTGTCGATACCGATGGCAGACCTCTTAGTCTAACGGTACCCTGGCAAAAGCCGGAGAGGAGTTGGCAGATGCATGGAGTGCCCGAAGTTGATGGACTCCTTTTTCTCTGTGTAGCGACTTCTCTGGATTGACGTGACCGGGCAAGTGCCCAAGAACCAGAAGCTGCTGGGTCTGTTTGCTTTTGGCTTGCAGAGGGACTGTGCATAAGTTTGACCCAAGTCTCCGATTTGCTAACGCTGTGTAGCTCAACGACCATGCTCACGATGTATAAGTAACGGCAAAGAAGATTCCTGCCACGACGTCGTACATAAAAAGAGAGGACGTCCCCGATTACGAGACGACCGGGAAGCCCGATATGACCTTTCAAGACCCCCACCTCCACATGACAATGCCTTCCGGAGATCTCTCAACATCTACCCCACCTCCAATGCCAGTGGCTCTGGGTATGACAGCCTCATGCAACACCAGCCTGGTAGGGAGTTGCATCCTCATCCTAGCGAGCATCAAGGTCTTCACCATACGGATAGAGGCTACTACCCCGAGGAGGATGTATACGGGAGACCAATCATCAACTCGAGGCCAGAGGAGCCTGTCGCCTATCTGACATTGGACTTTGAGTTTTCTCGAGTGTCTAATGCTTTTAATGATGCCATTGGGAATATCGGACCTCGTCGAACGTTGGCAGACACCGTTGCTCCCAACGACAGAGGAAAGGTCAAGAGACTGCAGAGCGAACTATCCACCGAGCAGAAGCAGATAGCGCCCAATTATTTACCTCCTATCTTAGGTAGAGGTGAGCAAGTGCTTTCGGGCATAGGGTTTACGCTTGAAGATTTCGGTGGATTTCACCTAAGGTATCCGGAATACTTGACCTTCGTTGCCGCTGACAACGGCCAAACCCGGGTATTTCCAGTACAGCTTGGCCTTGCAAAATCAGGGCAGTTCTTCTTCGTGGTGGCTCTTCTGGGGATGGGCAATCGACTGCAACAGCCGGTACCGGCGCCTCACCTTGGTCGCAATGCACCAATGGCTTACTCACCACATGGAGGGCCAGCCTATCCCGCCTACCCACAACAGCACCGACAAACTCCCGTGGGGCACAGCCGTCCTCCTCAGCATTCTCCGCCACTTCGACAGCTCCCAGCTGGCCCTCAGTCGCTTCCACTCCACAGTCGTGGTATGAGCCACCCTAGCGAGTATTCCTATTCAAATAGACAGCAATATCAAGAAGGCCCCCAGCATCACACACCTCGAAGCCAACGTCCTCCAGCCCCGCAATCTCACGGCCCGGCGTATCAGCTGCCTCCTATTCGATCGCCGATGGAGAGGCAAGGCCCCCCTCGAGATCAAGACTGGTATCAACGAGAGGAGAGGACCAACCGTGTGGATATCGGTGGCCTCATCGAGAAGCCTGAAGGGCCAGGCCGGATGCACTAGCAGGGCAGCCAGCCGCCTTCGACGCTTCAAATATAATCATGCCGTAATACTCGGCGTTTGCTCTCTTTTCTCGTTCCGTAGAAAAGAAAGGAACCCTTCCGATTTAGCGATCTTGGCTTATGGACCAAGGATGTTCTGATTTCAACATACAACAATGGAGCGATTTTGACTTTTTTTTTCTTTCTTTATTTTGAAGATACCACCTGTAATACTATATGCCTATATTCCATACCTTCCCATCCATTTTTGTCAGGGCCTGAATTTTTCTTGGTAGACTGAGTTCAAATCAGAGGGCACACATCTTTTTCCATTGTGGGTCGCACTCACAATATGGTGTTCACAGGGCTGCACTTTGCATCAGCGACAGTCACGAGGCGTTTTCTTGCATATGCATCGTAAGAGCAGAGCGGGTTTCTCTCGCGGGGAAGGGGCGCAATTGCCTACCGGTTAGAGGATATGTCGAGATGGATAACGAGCGAGGATCAACGTTTTCTATTGGGGCGACATTTGCTCCCTGGGCTTGGTGAGGATGGATGATAGAAAAAGGACAGTAACGTGCGAGACACTACTCTACTGAAAAAATATTGATAGTCAATAATGGCTGATATTCATATTGGTCTTTAAATCCCAGCGTGTTTCTCGGCTGAAAAGAAATGGTGAGTGATGGAATGACGAAATGCTGTGCTTGGGGTCCCGAACCGCTTCCTTTCTCCGGTGTACCCTGGTCCTAGTTGGCCAATTAACTCGCCTCTGCAGATGCGATGCGATGCGATGCGATGCATGAGACGATGAAACACGAACCATGCATCTGACATTGTTACACGGCCCAGATTATCCGGGCCCCTCCGCCTGCCGCTCATTGGCCCGGTTGTTTCGAAATAGGGAATTTGATGGGAATCTCGCGATCGTGCCGACGCATAAAACACCAGGTGGTGATACAAACAGTGACCAACTGGGAAAGGAGCAGCCAAATATTTCCGAGAGTAACTGATGTGGAAACAAGGCCGGGCTCAGAAGAGGATTTGGGAATTAGAGAGGAAAACTCCGTTGATTGAACTTATTGTGACAAGTATACCAAGCCCACATAAATGTAGGAGTGGGTGTAAGTTGAATCTCTGTGGTAACGCGACAATTAATTAGAAAAAAAAAACAAGCTTTAACTTTTTTTAATCCCCTTGCCCTTGCCCATCTATAATGGGCAAAGGACTATGAGCCGGTGAGCCCTGTCCCGTGATACGGTATGAGAGCCCATGCGTCGATCCCTTGCCTGCCATCTGATCCGGCAAAATGAAAGGTGTATATTCCGATTAGGTTCTCCCCTCCCCCCTTGATATAATTAATCCTCCCCAGAAGAGAATGATGTCCTCCCATTGCCCAGCTGGCCTCGTCGTGCCTCACTCGCCCCTCGTACCCGCCAAGTAAAGTATAATCGGCGTCCACTGAGATCGCTATTAAAGATGAGAGACGTTCGGGTATGTTTTTGTTTGATGTAGTACTTTGAAGTGGTCGACATCAGAGACTTCAGGACGTCTTGCGGGCCTTGGCGTCCTTGGCCGAGGAGCCCTCCACGTCCTTGAGCCCGCTTCTGCGGGTGGTGATGGAGACAGTGGTGGTCTTGCCGGGGGAGGACTGGCTGTTGGTGTCGTCCCTCCTGAGGCGCTTGTTGCTGTTGTGGCCGTCACCGTCAGCGGAGTGGCCGTTGGTGTTGCCGTTGCCGTTGGGGGACTGCCTCGCGAGGTCCTCGAGGGCGTGCTTGAGGTTGACCTTGTCCTGGTTGATGTTGTGGTAGGGGGCGTCCTGGCCGGGGGAGGCCGTGGAGAGGAACAGCGGGTCGCCGCTGCCGGCGATGAATGGCGCGAGGAGGTGGTGATCACCGTCCTGGTGGGCTGGGGGGGTAGGGCTGGAGGGGCGGGACAGGGTGGTGTTTGAGTTGCGGCGAGAGAGAGGCTTGTGGCCGATGAGCTCCTGGCTGTAGGTTGAGTATGTCGTCGAGCTTCTATCAAGGGTTGGTTAGAAAGGGTCCGGGAACACCAGGGGGGTTGTATTGGTTCAAGGTAAGATATGGAGGGTTCTGTTGCTGGGTTTTGGGGAGTGATGGAAGGTGTATGGGATCAGAGAAAGGAGGAGAGGAAAGGCTCAGCTTACGGTTGGACACATCGGGAACTGGTATCGCTGACGGAGGGACCAGGGCGGTTCTCGCTGACGGAAAACTTGAACATCTTGTCTTGTTTAGGGCTTGTTTTGAGGAGCCCAGCAGCTCTGTGGGTATGTATGCAGGACAGATGTATGGAGGAGTGTGTGTTTATAGAAAGATGGAGAGGACTTTGGCGGTAAGAGGTTACTCTGCTGCAGTGAGCATGCGAGTGGCAGTTATATGCCGAGCCTGTGTGAGAGAGAACCCTGAGCCTGCAAAGAGGAGGCGAGCAGTCTAACCGATTGGACTGGAGAACTGGAAACAGGGTGACAATGCAATCCGTGAGGCGGACTTGGATGTTAAAGCGAGGACTCTGGAGGTGCACTTTGACCAGGAAGGCGAGCTTGTTAGTGATGCTGGGGCGGAGGGCAGGCGGGCATATGACAGGTATTTATCTGGTAAACAATCACAAACTGAGCTTCGGGCCCAATTCTATGCCATGTGTCCTAGGCGCCCGGGAGACCAAAGACATGAAACCCGGGCCAAAGAAACGTGCATTCGGTTCTGATCTGGCCCAGGGGCTGTGCCTGGTCCTGGTATAAGGGGTGGTGTGGGCTCTGGTACCGACAAAGGGAATCAGCGACAAAAAGGGAAAGTTTTCGGGTGCTGGGGGCCAGGTAGCATACGGTAGTGTACCTGGTTCTGCTTGATATGCAGGGCTTTCGGGATGGCATGGATTCCTTTTTAGCAACCATCGATCCGTCAGCATGGTCGAGGTACGGCCAGATACCTGCTGGCCGTTCACGCAGCAAGTTCTCTCGCCGCGGAATCGAGCCAAAACGCAAACATAGGCGCGGGAAGAGATGGCACTAGCGCAATTGTGTACAGAGTTGGCGGTTCATTGGCTGCCAGGCCTCGCGGGCTGGGGAGAGAAGACAACCGGCCAGGGGGTGGACATGCCCATCGGCATCAACCATCCATTCACTCACTTTGTTGGCTCCATCACCGTGCACGATCGCCTCTGCTGTGGCCCGGGCGGCCGCCAGGCTGCGCTCTTCAGCCAGCTTCATGCTGGATGCATGAAATAGAGAAGTGACAGGAGGAGCCGGGGCTTGCCGCAGGTCAGGAGATGGCGTCGGTGGCATCATCAGCGCCATCATCATCAGCAGCATCATCATCATCATGTGCTAGTGCTCGAGGACGGCTGAGGAGCGGCCCCCAAGAGCGCTGGACTAGCGCCAGCGACAGGGCTATCGGTGCCGCAACGGTTCTTGATCGGTGGCGGTTTCCCCCAGATCCCCCCCAAAGTTTAGGGCCTGCTCCCGCTGACGCCCCAAAAGGCTGCCTATAATAGTGGCTAAATTGACCCCATCTTTATTTTCTTTCCTTTGGCTTGCTTCCTTGCCGCTGCGAATCCGTCTGCCCAAGGAATGGAACTCTGGCCCGTTGAGACGGAGAGTCAGCCTTCTGAGGCTCAGTAAGCTTGGGTGGCTCGCCCGGTGTGGCTGTGGGATGTGCCTTTGCCTACGTGCCACTGATGTCGAGTCTATCATCAGCCCTAGCCGGCACAACAGCACCAAGCCACAGCACTGCGTCGAGTCACGACCGGGGTGTCGGGGATCGGGGTGACGGCCAAGGAATTGGGGTTGTTGGTTTAGGGTGAGAAAAAGAAAGTTCAGATCCGGATCCAGGTCCCATCCCATCCCATCAGGCCTCAGCGCATTGACGACAACCGCAATCGTGCCCTCCTTTTCAAGGACCCAACCAAGGCTGAGAGACGAGAGACCCGTAATCGAGAAACTGGGTGGCATAGGGACACGTCCTATTTGTCGCCATTCCAAGTAGAGCTGGTACAGAGCAGCCCCAGCGATTCAGCCTCGGGGGGCACCCAACAACAGCTGCTGCTCTCCCCCCTACGCTCGCTCAGCTTCTCTCATGTCCAGAGGTACTTAACTCTACCCATGATATGACATATGTCGATCACGCGTTTAATTGACCGCCAATATGGTTGATGAAAGGGGCTCGCTCCCGGAGCTGACTGCAGCCCATGGCCTGGGACCAAATATGACCAGTCTCCAACACAATGGATCCATGATATTGACTACGGCGGGCTACACGTAGTTCCCGGGGGGCTAATCGTTGCCCTGTCTGCTCTAGCTGGCAGTGGTTTTACCCACCTCTGTAGCATTGAGCTCCGACTTGCGACTACCAACGAGCCGACTTGAACCAAACAGACTGGCGGGATGTGTAATTCACCCTAAGACGGGAGGGAACAAAGGAACGCTGGATAGCACGAGCTTTGGGTTGCCCATCTCTCATCCATCTAATTGCCAGGGGCAGTAAGCTTTGCTTGGGCCAACTAGCGGTCCCTTCGCTGTGTTGTGTATGTTCCTGGTAACTCGACTCGATTGGGGCCCCAGCTGCCATCGTCACACTCCCCCTGCAATCCCGAAAAAAAATTGTGAACCCAGCCAGCTGAGAGGAGGGAGCTGAGAGCAAGGCTGCTGATCTTCTCCCTCGCTTGACACCCCCTCGATGGATGCCAAGCATCGTCATGGTCTAGGACAGCACGCACGCACATTACGCGGGATCAGGACGCACGGTTACGCTACCCCGTCCTCATTTCCAGAGTCCTGGATAGCATAGCGCAAGGACTGCAGGACTTGGCCCGGCCTGTGCCGCAGAATGGGACCCCACCAACCTCTATCTACGAGGAAGCGAGGCGGGGCTGCTGTTGGTCTGTAGAAGCAAGGATGATTGATCAGTCGCCGCGGCCAAAGTCGAGATCGAATCATGAGTTAATGGTTGTTATTCGGAAAGCCAATTGATCCGATCACAACCTCCATCCGGGTTACACAACATCCAT